TCAAGAGAATGAGATCTGTAAAACTGATGCACACGCAACACTCAGCTTCTGGAGCAGGACTGCAGTTCAGTAGTGGACGAGCAACCAGAAACTTCCGCCAGAGTTTACAGCTGGTGAACGCGAAGAAGAAGAAGAAGATTTGACATCAACTTGGCTTTACAAAAAACATTGAGGTCATAAGGAAACCCCCTGAATGCTATGTTTAGTTACTATATCCATATGCTGGCCTATTAAAAATCTCACAAGCACACATAGGACCAAAGGGAATTGAAACTACGCTTTTTTAAAAACAAGTCACCGCAAACATTACCATATATAACGGCATTTACAGGGCTGTGTCACAACCAGAAGTGACTAAATGTAGTCTTCTTGGATCATCTTCAGCCTGAACTTGTATTAAAAATTAAAAATAGCTTTGTATAGACAGATTTATAGTAGTGCTTATTTAGGATTGCAGAGTTTTGTCTCGACTGGGGTTAACATTATTCTTATTGAACTCTGCCACATCAGCTCCTGCAGAAGAGAAAGTTATTGGAGATGCTGAGCCTAGATTTCTAGAAGATGAAGGATTTTACGTGGGTGTAAAACCGTACGTGGCTATCAGAAACAAGAATAAAATGGAGAACAGACTACTAAAGGAAGCAGAAAGCACAAAGCAAGTAAGCCAAACAAGTTTTCTTTTAATTTTCATGTTATTAGGGTGTGCTTAAGTGCTTGACACTGCAGCCAGCAGTGTTAAGGTTGGCTAGCTTCTCAGAGAGGTGAAAAGTGAATTCAAGCAGCCTGCCAATGACCCATAGAGCACCCAGGTCAACTCCACCCCCTCGTGGAAAACTGAAGCCACAAGATTTCAGGTTATGAGGCAATGGCTCCCTGGGAGGAGATGGGCACCAACCAGGTTAGATTTTTCTCACCCCGCCACACAACACACCTAGTAAGCCAGCAGTGATATGATCAACCAGTCAACTGCGGCTACTGCGGATATCGGACTGGCAAATCTACAGAATCAAGTAAGAGAAGGATAAATGTTGTAGCTGAAACCTGCAAAAAGATGAACCAATCCATCACCAAAGCATCCCTAATAAGCACAAGGCAGATATAGAAAAGCATGACACTGGGCTACAACCTTGTAAAAGTGAGACGACAAAAGAAGAAGTCCTAAGTTATGCAGGATTGTACATGTATATATAACAGTGCACTGTGTGTTATATCTTTTACATTTGGCCTTAGTATGCTAAAGAAAGGTGGCTAGATATTTTTAACATGCAGCAGTGTTTGTTTTATACAAGGTGTTTACATATTGCCCATCTGAATGGTGGTTATCGTCTTTATTTTACCTGTGCTGTGAATCATCAGGATCAGAATTTCAATGGGTTGGGAATAATTGGAGGGATACAGTAGAAGAGAATCTCATGTGGGTTCCAGGGCCCTATTATAGGGAAAACAAGAATAGACCCACTGCCTACCCAAAAGCATTTCGTGAGAGTCAACTAACTGAGAGCTTCCTTTGAAGGCGGAGTGCATCTGCCTGAGAGGTAAAGAACCAACAGTCTGCATACAAATTAGTCAGATCTGTCAAACAGATGCCCACGCAACACTCAAGTTCTGGAACAGGACTGCAGTCCAGAAGTAGGCGAACAACCAGAACTTTCCGCCGGAGTTTACAGCTGGTAAATGTGAAGAAGAAGAAGAGTAGAAGAGATAGCTATAAACACAGTAGAACCTTGTTAACACAAATTCCAAGGGACTGAAAATTGAGTTCGCTTTAATAAACAGTGTGTGCTAACTGGGGACTAATAACAGTAATAGGTACTTGCTGGACCCACATTTTGTTCATGTTAACCGAATGTTCTTCTTAAATGGGTTGTGTCAATGAGATTTACTGTATGTTTGACATCATGACACGGAAGATCATTGGTGTCACAACTGACTGAAAGGACACTAGGCAGAGAAGAATGACACTGTGAGGAGTTACAAAGGAATCTGGCCAAAGCTTGACACTTAGGGGAAAGGCGGGATGGATATACAAGCAGACAGTTACTGGTACTATCAAAATTTTAACTCTTCGCTTGCTGCTGAAGATGGGGATGGAGCACTTATGGGAGTGTCCTGAGTGCTGTGATGTCGATTCTTAATTCAGTGTTCAAAACGAGACATAGGTTGTGGATGGACATGACTACCAAGCCACACCAAGCATGCATTAAGGAGAAAAAGAGGAACATTGCAGATGCTGCTGCTATGAAGTGTTAAGCTTTCAGATATACTGGATTATGTATAAAAAGGGTAGGATGACCGGTTCTTTTTCTCAAAGTCTTTCCTTCCTAGAGATACTCCTCTGATATACAAGAAATTATAAAATAAGGGCAGTATGGACAGTTGAGTTAACTTGAGTTCAGTTGAGTCCAGAATTGACATCACAGCACTCGGGGCATTCCCATGCATGCCTTGTCCTCAGAAGTGAGCTAGTATGTATATGGGTGGGGTGTGGGAAGACCAACGTTACTTTTACCTTAAGTGTCCGGCCAGATCCTCTGGTTGTTCTTATTTGTATCATTCCATGTCCATGTCATTGACCATGTCATAGACCATGTCATAGACCATGTCATAGACCATGTCATAGACCATGTCATAGACCATGTCATAGACCATGTCATAGACCATGTCATAGACCATGTCATAGATCATGTCATAGACCATGTCATAGACCATGTCATTGACCATGTCATAGACCATGTCATTGACCATGTCATAGACCATGTCATAGACCATGTCATAGACCATGTCACTTGTTTAATCAACAACAGCTAATGGCTTCTACATTATTTAACATAAATAGGTTATCTGAACACAAAAAATCAGTTTACCTCTAAGATTGAATATTAAATTTATAGAAAACACACAAATTAAAACCCTTATGACTAACATCAAGGTTTTCTGCATTTCTGAAACCCATATTTAGGCTGGAGCACAACTAAAAGAGATGAAGCTTTATTACAGGTTTTTGAAAACAGAGTTTTAGGACAGATCTTTGGACCTATCAAAGATGCAAACAATGGGGGTGGAGAGTGAGAACAAAAAGGACCCTTTTCCACGCCATCAGGCATATAGGGCTAGACCTATATATAGACCAATCGGCACAAGATGGGTGATGTGGTCAGCATCACGCCGGCCGCCTTTACTCTCCCGGGACTGCACCCGGTACCCACTCAAGGCTGGGTTGACCTGGGAGCCAAAGTCATTTTTGAAAAAAGTCTGGCTCCACCAGGGAGCGAACCCGCGACCTTCCGATCCACAATGAGTGTCTAGCCGCTCTGCCACAGTGACTCCCAGAGAATGAGAAGCAATAATTAAATTCATAATCTGTTTAAATCACCACTGATCACTGGCATAATGAGAGCTGTTAGACTGAAATGGTTGGGGCATTTTGAAAGAAAGTCAGATGACAGAAAAGTAAAAACTGTGAACACAAGGGAGATGAATGGTTGTAGACCACGAGGCAGACCAAGAAGAATATGGAGAGATAATATCCAGACAGACCTGCAAACACTTGGTGCCACCAACTGGAAAGATATGGCCAACCACAGAGATGATGGAGGCGGGTGATATCAGATATTTAGGCTGAGCAGTTACTATCCATAAATCTAAAAAGCAAAAAAGCCTTCCTGTAAATTGGCAAACTGTTTTTTGCTGTCAGGTTTTATTTTGCAAGTTTTTTATAGTTTTAAATTTAATTGATAAACAGCAGAGTTTATTATGATGAATGTAACTTCTTCAATCCGCTAGCCTAGTAAATGGTTTGGAGAGGATGGACAGATGATAGTGCTGCCCAGCCCTCTGTGTGACACTCCAACAAGGCCCGTGCTGCAGGAGGAAGAGCTCTTATACTTGGAAACAGTATTTTACAAGGTCAGTTACTGTTACAATTAGTTTTGCAGATTAGACAATGCAGGAAATTTTCATTCTCCGCATAATCCCTGTGTATTTTCTGGGGCTCCATTTTGGTGGGGGAGGGGTTTGTTGGGCCACCCCCCCCCCCCCCCCCACAAGCATGCCATTAAAGGTGACTAATTAGGAGGGTTTCCTTAAAAGTTGGAGTGCATCTGCCTGAGAGGCAAGGAACAAACTATCAGAGAGGCAAGGAACAAACTATCTGAGAGGCAAGGAACAAACTATCTGAGAGGCAAGGAACAAACTATCTGAGAGGCAAGGAACAAACTATCAGAGAGGCAAGGAACAAACTATCTGAGAGGCAAGGAACAAACTATCTGAGAGGCAAGGAACAAACTATCTGAGAGGCAAGGAACAAACTATCTTCCTACACATAAGCCATATATTTAAAACAGATTTGCCTGCAAAACTCAAGTTCTGGAACCAAAGTCCAGTAGTGGGTGAACAGCCAGAAATTTCCGTCAAAGTACAGCTGGTGAATGCTAAGCAAGGAAGGAAGGCATGGTACTCATAATGGGTGTTCTTCCACAAGTATCTCATCTCTTGTTTTTTTTGGGGGATAATTTCAAATGCTGATAAATATCTGGATGGCTCGGTCGCATAGTTACCATTAGTGTGGGACAAGATTACTGACCTGATCTGGGATTGGGATCATGTAAGATAGTTAGTCAACAGATTATCCTCATTGCACATGGATCCCCTCCTCAGTAAATCCTGCGGCTGATGACACCCATTCTGTGTTGGTTTCCTATTCTTCTTTGGCTTCCTGGATTGTGCTCTTGTCTGGCCACACCCCTTTTAATTTTCTGATGTTTGCAGTCTGATCGTGGTGGCAAATTTACAGTCGCTTTTCACAAGCTTCCTACTTCTCACAGAGAATTCAGTATATCAACTTGGTCTATGGCTCGTCCGCTTTCCATAATAGCTTTACCTGCAAGCCTGTCAGCTTGCTCAATGCCTTGCATGCCTGCCTGCCCTGGCTTGAAAATGCCATGGATCATTGTCGGCCCCGACTGTTTCAGAGACACCAAATCTTGTAAAATGGCGAACACCTGTGCTTGTCAGCGGGGCATATGATGCTGACTGTCTCCCATAAACCACTCTACTGGCATCTTCTTACTCTGCTCACCTGTTAACCACTGATTCTGCACTCTCAATCTCCAGAACGTCTTATCTCTACAGCTCCATTTAATACTTATCTCTACAGCTCCATTTAATACTTATCTCAGCCGCTCCATTTAATGCTTATCTCAAACGCTTCATTTAATACCTATCTCAACCGCTCCATTTAATACTTATCTCAACCACTCCATTTAATACTTATCTCAACCACTCCATTTAATACTTATCTCAACCGCTCCATTAAATACTTATCTCAACCGCTCCATTTAATACTTATCTCAACCGCTCCATTTAATACTTACCTCAACTGCTCCATTAAATACATCTCAACCACTCCATTAAATACTTCTCTTAACCACTCCATTAAATACTTCTCTTAACCACTCCATTTAATATTTAATCTTCCTTCATGCCATCACTTCTCGATTGTTATTTACTGTTTGTCAGTCTTGCTGGCTATCCTGAGTATGTAATTTCACATACTTAGCTGTATATTTTCCTTCATGCAATCAGTTGTTGATTGTCGTCTTTTTATATCTTTGCTGCAGTGTTTATCATATTTAATTTTCATGCCCAGTACCGTATATTTTCTTCACGCAAGCAAGATGTTGTGATAACCCTTTGGGAGCTGGTAAACCCTGGGGAGCACATATAGATCAACACAGTCTGAAAGGATCGGTGCAGCGGAGAGTGACTGATCTGGCTAATGCTCGACACTCAGTGTAAAGGTAAAGTCGGGAGATGTGAACCAGCATAATTGCACACCGTTATAAACCATAAGTGCTCTGCCACCAGTAGGGACAGCTGATTAGAAACTGTCCGCCTGTGTTGCCGTCCGCACGCAATTCCGTAGCTACAGCAACATTCCTCCATTTACCCCAGAGTGTTAACTCTGGTACCTATTACCTAGAGGCTGGGTGAACCCTGGGAACTGCCCAAGTGGCAGCTGAATTTGAAAGCAAGTCTCCTATCGACTGCGCTAATGCACCACCCCCCCCCCCCCCCTTCCCCCCCAAAAAAAACTCAGGGAAAAGACAAGACAGGCATATAGTTAGATTATTACTTGTACTATCAGAATTGGAAGTCTTCACTGGCTACTGAAGATGGGGATGGAGCACTTATGGGAATGTCCTGAGTGCTATGATGTCAATTCTTAATTTATTTTAACTCATCTCTTCTGTCATATCATTGTTTGAGTGTCATGTGCAGCATATCTCTCTCACAGGCTATCCTGAGAGAATTTGACAGTCGCTACATAGATGGAGCCATTGATGGGGGCGGGTTTTACCAGCTGGACGTGGACATCAACTCCATCTCCTTTACTCATCATCACCTGTTCAGCCGAGAGCATGTGCTGGCAAAGAAGCTCTCTCTTCTTTATGAGGAGTACTTGACTCGAAGGAAGCGAAATATGACTGAGTTTTTGACAGAAAAGGTACACTGCATTTTTTATTTCAGAAATGGTACAGGTAGTTCTTTTTTTTTTTAAATATTTCGACTATGTAATAACATTTGATAGATGTGTGACACAGAAATGTAGCAAAGCATTGTCACATCCAAAGATTCTTGTCAAAATAAATAGTTTAATGAAAATGCAAAATATTATTGTTAGCACAAGAATATGATTTGTTAACTTTTGTCTAATAAACAATAAAAATGTCAATGCCTTGACGGAGGGCAAAGCAATACTAAAAAGATGGAGGGAGTATTATGGTGAATGTACAAAGATTAGAAAAACATGCCAGATAGTGCCGATGAATTCGAAGACAAAGAGCCTGAACCTCTATTAGAGAAAGTAAGAATAGCAATAAACAACCTAAAAAAAGGTAAATCTTCAGGATGTGATGACATACCATCAGAGTTACTTCAGGCTGGAGGAGAAGCCAGCGTTATTCTATACCATGTACTATGTGTGAAAATCTGCAACAGTGCTGACTGGCCCAAAGCGTGGAAAAGATCAGTTTATATTCCCCTCCTGAAAAAAGATCTCAAATTGTGTAACAATAATTGTACTATAGCTCTAATTAGTCAAGCCAGCAAAATCCTTCTGCATATCATCTTGAGGAGAATCGAGAATAAATTGAAATATGAATTACAGAAGCACAAGTGGGTTTTAGACTGGGCAGAGGAACAAGAGACCATATTTTCAATATGAGAATTATCCTAGAGAAGTGTAGAGAATACACGGTAGATCTTCATGCTTGTATCGTAGACTACAGCAAGCAGTTTGATTGTGTGCAACTCCATAAACTGTGACATATAATGAGAGGCATGGGATTTCCAAAACATCTGGTGCACTTAATGGAATAACTTTACCATGAACAAAAAGCAGAATCAGAGTAGCTGGTGAAAAATCAGAGTGGTTTGAAGTGCAGAAAGGATTGAGACAGCTGCATTTTTTCACCGTCCCTTTTTAACATATATACTGAAAATGTTATGAGAAACACAATTAGCGATGAGGTATGTGAGAGCTTTGCTCCACTAAAAATTGGAAGCAATCGTATTCCAGATTCAGATATGCAGATGAGACAATTCTTCTTTCTAGTAGTGTACAAGGCTTAGAAAAATTAATTCTGGCCATCAAAAAGCACAGCAAAGAATCAAATCTTTTTCTGAGTTTGAAAAAAAAAAAATCATGCCCTCAGTAAATACAGAACACCAACCACATATCACAGTCAAAAATAAAGAAAAAGAAAATGAAACAGATTTCGAATACTTGGGTTCTTTTGTGAACAACAGTGGAGACTGCTCGAAAGAAGTCAGAAGAAGACTTGCATTAGCAATACAGAGATTAAACAGCATGAAGAACCTATGGCAAAGCACTTGTAAATTTGTTAAAGTAAATTTCTTGAGATCATGCAATTTTCCTGTGGCAGCTTATGGTCATGAGTCCTGGACTCTGACTCTATCACTGAAGAAAAAGATTGGAACTTTTGAACTAAAATGCTACAGAAGGATTTTCAGAATACAATGGGTTTAAGATGAGGAAAAACATTGACATTCTACATCAGTTAAAATCCAGCTAAACTGGCTCATAAACAGCGCCCTGTCCCGAAATTTGAAGCGTTTTGGCCACATCAAATGTCATGGTGGCTTGGAAAATATTATCAGACTGCAACTAGCAGATTCAGTACTGGAACTCTACACTGGCTGCTGAATATGGAGATGGAGTGTTTATGGGAATGTCTCAGCATCTGTCATCTCACTTAACTCTTTTAGTTCTAGTGGTGTTCTACTTTCATTCATTTTATTCTACAGAATTATCCCTCACTGATTTAAGTTTTAGTCCAAAGAAGTTCAGTCCAGAGAAGTTCAGTCCAGAGAAGTTTTAGTCCTGAGAAGTTCAGTCCAGAGAAGTTTTAGTCCAGAGAAGTTTTAGTCCAAAATGTTTTAGTCCAGAGAAGTTTTAGTCCTGAGAAGTTCAGTCCAGATAAGTTTTAGTCCAGAGAAGTTTTAGTCCAGAGAAGTTTTAGTCCATAGAAGTTCACCCCCCCCCCCCCCCCAAAAAAAAATATATGAGATACTGGGTTGACAAGCCAAATTCATACCTTTTGCAAACCAGTTTCACCCAAATGCCAATCAGATTCACTCTTTTGAAAATCAAATTCAACCTTTTGCATATCAAATTCACCCTTTGCAAATCAAATGCATCTTTTTGCAAAAAAAAAATGTAACCTTTTTTCCCAAATCAAATCTAATTCAGCCTTTTGAGTCAAATTCAACCTTTCCTATGCTCCTGCATAAGGATTCAAAGCAGCAGTTGAGGCAGAGTTTATATAATAAAGGTTAAAAGGTTAAAGTCGAGAGGGTCGACTTCATTGCACCAGGTTTTATCCCATATGGCTCGGTATCTCTCTGCAGAACGGCAAGCTGCCTGCCGAGAGTGTCGCACAGAGCACAAACTCCGTAGCTCGGCGATGATCCCCAGGGATGTTCATAAAAATTGCACTAGTGAACTGAAAGGCGCCGCCATGCAGTGAACCCACAGCCTTCAGAGAGCAAGGCAAACAGCTTGACCACTTTGCCATGGAGACGCTCAAAGTTATGTATCTCCTCGGCAGGGAATCAAACCCTGGTCTCCTGTGGGACAGGCGGGATACTTAAAACTGTACCCAGGGTGTAATAATTTGCTGGCATGGTAATGGTAATGTTAGTTTCAGCTCCATATTAAATGGATCACACCATAGTTGCTCCGCTCCTGTGGCAACGAAAAACACACAGAATGTTTATCACAGTCTCTTGTGGAGAGATTGACAGACTGCTGTCTCAGCATATGCAATAGCATACACACGCGTTAAAAGCAGACGGTAGCCATCAGAAGTGCCAACACAAACAGTCTGACATTAGAAAAGCAGTTCATCATCGACGGTAGCAAAGGAAACCAACAAATCAGCCTTTGCACACACGATCAATTGTAATCACAAAAGGGCATCACCAGTGTTGCAACGACAGACCACGTGCCATTTTCTAAATCTAAAATTCACAACACCACATTGGTCACAGTCGAAAAACATTCCAAATGAAATCCGCAGCTCACAGGGTCGCACCGTGCACTCAACTCAGTAGCTGGGCGACAAAACTATATCCTTTCAGTCTACAAATGGAGCAAAAATGCAACCACCACCGTCTGGCAGAAGCAAAAACTTTGCCTTGACTAAAAACAGTGACCTTGCCTAGCGTCCATTTTGACCGGCAGACCTTGTTGATTGCATACAAATTGTTAAGGTTAGTATATGATGTAAGTTGAGCCAGACGAATGCAGGATGATATTTCTAGAACTCTGTGAGTCAGCACAGCTCAACAGTGATACAGGACAGAAGGAGTTCATCAAGTGACAAGAACAAGATGGGTTACTATAGCGACAGTCTGAAACAGAAAGAAATAATGTGTTTTATAATTTATTAATTTTTCTCCCCAGCTCGCTGCTTTGAAAAATTCAGCAGTTCTGTTACAGACATACATATCCCAGCACAAGGTAAACGGTTCATTAATTACTTCATTCTTAATCAATTTTTTTCATTTTTAATTGATTCATGCCAAAGTCAAAGTGTCTGTCTCGCAACACCAATATCAAAATAAATAAAATGTTGATAAGACCAGCGTGTTATATGGCTCTGAAACTTGGAGCACAACTAAAAGAGATGAAGCCATATTTACAGGTTTTTGAAAACAGCGGGAAATGGAAAGTGATAAGCAGCAACGAAATTCACAATATATTTAAATCATCACTAATCACTGGCATCATGAGAGCTAATAGACTGAAATGGTTAGGGCATTTTAAAAGAATGTCAGATGACAGAGAAGTAAAATCTGTATACACAAGGGAGATAAATGGTCGTAGACCACGAGGGAGACTAAGAAGACGATGGAGAGATAATATCTAGACAGACCAGCAAACACTTGGTGTCACCAACTGGAAAGAGAAGGCCAACCAGAGAGATGAATGGAGGTGGGTGATATCTGCAGCAATGAACCTCAAGGGATCGAAATGCTGAAGAAGAAGAAGAATTTATTCATTATTTAATAATTCATTCTTCCCCTTTTCCACCCAGCCTCTAAATGTACTTTGTGCCTCGAGTTCTATTCTGATATAAATACACACATATACTGTCTTTAGGTTGCTACAATGGCTAGGAGCTTAGTTGTGACCCTGTAGGTACATGTTCAAAACCTTCTCAAGACAGGATTTAAAAGAAATAAATAAACCTGCAGTCTCAAATAAGTGTTACAATTTTTTTTTTTAAAGGAAGGATGGTGGGGAAGGGAACTGATCAACTCACCTCAATATATCATTGACCTGTAATATCTGAAGACCTACTTTTTCACACCCTAGTATAGGGGGAGACTGTTTGACAGAAATTAAAAGGTGATGGCCATATCAATGCAAAGATTAAACAGAATTAAAAGTCTATGGTTAAGCACCAGCAAGGAGCTTAAATTAGAATTTTGAGAGCATGCATCTTTTCTGTAGCAACTTACGGATGTGAGTCGTGGACTATCTCCCAGTCCTTAAGAAAGATAATAGGGCTTTTTCCCTGTGTGGTTTCCGGGGCCCCATTGTGGGGAAAACAAGAATAGACCCACTGCCTCCCCAAAAGCATGTCGTAAGAGTCGACTAATTGGGAAGCTTCCTTTGAAGTCGGAGTGCATCTGCCAGAGAGGCAAGGAACCAACAGTCTGTATTCAAGAGAATGAGATCTGTAAAACTGATGCACACGCAACACTCAGGTTCTGGAGCAGGACTGCAGTTCAGTAGTGGACGAGCAACCAGAACTTTCCGCCAGTGTACAGCTGGTGAACGCGAAGAAGAAGAAGATAATAGGGCTTTTGAGCTGAAATACTATAGAAAGAATCTCAGAAATCTTGGACAAAGAAGAGGAGAAGTACTGACATCTTGAAAGATCTGAACATCAAGGAAGATTAGCCAATAAACAG